ACACTCACATGCTTCGAATATTTTGTTTGTGTCTCTCTTTTACTCTCGGCCACATCGCTACTGCTCTACATCATTGCGATATTATTGGTCGTTTGCTATGTAAAATGATTGCTAGATGTAAACAGTCTTTCTAAAAATTCATTTTTATTTATATGGCGAGTTTGTATTTAAAAATACCCCGTAGTAATAAACTTCGTAATTCAATTAGGTATGAAAGTGATAGCAGAGCATGTGTATGTTTTATATAGACAGAGGATACCCCCAGATCGGGTGATGATTACGCATCTTTAACTTCTTGCGCATATACAATATAGTGCTGCTGCTGACGTTGTATTATTATGCTTCGAATTATCATAGTGTCTTGTATCAGCAATTGAGTTGATAAAATATGAGATAGATGCTACAGGTCTAAACTAAACAATCACCATAGTATCAAATAGATGAAGCAAAAGAAAAAAAGGTTAAAAATCGCTTAAATTATGGCAAGAAAATGAAGGAGTTCCTCTTTATTCATCGCAACTGTGAAAGTTATTTAATCTGCCACGACTTCCATAATACCGTTTATGATGCACGTTCGCACTATAAAGTTCAATATTAGCCGTCGTACGCCGAATATCGTGCTTTGACGTAAAGCTCCTTCTACTAACCTGTGTCTACCTTTGTTGACGAACGTTTACCGTTGTGAACGAATGCAGTAATTACCATCCAGAAATCATTTTGTATTCAGCTTTCCGACGATTTACTGGTCGCCATCGTCTGTCACGCAACAAGTTCTTTCAAGACACTTAACAGTGGCTCCGAAAGGCGCACACTCTCTAGTGGCTGTCTCGGGGTTAGGGGTCCATTGGCAGCATAGGAAAGCATCAGTTCGCACCTCAGACCCAACATCACACTCGAATGCACCTGGGTTGACCGCGAGCTTTGTTTCACAAGTCATCACATGAGCAGGAAGTTCAATTGGATTTTCGGGTTGGGGTGGGGTAGGGGGACCAGTTCCAGGTCCCACATCTCGGCAGCAGTTACGCTCCAAGCACTTGGGGACACCAGGGCCACACTGGTTGCTCCATTGGCAGCACTCAAACCCGGTGTCTGTAGGGACCTTACCCACATTAGAGCAGATCTGGTTAAACGCATTCTTCTCAGCACAAGTAATGGGCTGTCTCTCGGGTCCGGGAGCACTACTAGGGACGACCTGACGGAGGTTCATGGCCGAAACGGCACTGCACGCAGCAGCAAGTACAAGAATCAATTTCATTATGAGTTAATTTGCTTAGTTTAGTATTATGTGCTGATGTGACGATTCGGAACGAGTAGCGCGTCAATTTATACTGAATCAGACAATACCTGAAGTTCTTTTAGACTGAATATCTACATCGTCCAAATCTCCAATTCGCAATAAAAAATAAATAAAAAATAGCCCTTTTTAGAAATTCTATACAACAGAGAAGGCTATGGTTTATGGCCCGGCCCGGCCCGGCCATGGGTTACTACTTATCTCAGATTATTTATCTATTTTCCACTTCACTTAAACGATTTTTTTTCGACTTGTAACACTATAGGAAAAGAAGGAAAGAAATAATAATAGCATTAACCTATTTTTAATTAATGCACGAATACTCTAGCTGCGAGTGCGTGCGGTTGTGCGTGTACGAGAATGCGGATCTGGCAAGTGTCAGCAAGAAGGCCGAGAGCCCGAGGCTCCGACGACACGTCGGCAGTCTCAGAGACTCGGTCTCTCTCTCGCTCTTTCTCTCTCTACTAGCTATTTAGTAGTAGTAGTCGAGTGAATCGACACTCAACATTCGACACACGGGACACCTGCAGACTGCAGTCGACACACGGGACGCCAGCTCTCTCGAGTCTCGAATTATAGTCCCTCACTCCCAGTCTATGTTTGTTTAAAAAAAAATTGAATGAATTTTTTTAATATGTAATGTTTTATTATTATTGTATTTTAGAAAACTACTACTAGTACTTATTTAAAAAAAAAAATAGAGGCCAGTCGATCAGAACGCAACTAAATCTTTATTTTGCTTTAAAAATAAACAAAAAGCAGTAAACAAATACTATTCTCTACTCTATTAGAGAGTAGTAGCCACATGTTGGCACAGTGCCGCTGTTGAGGCACTGTAGGCCTGTCGGCTGCCGTAGCCCTTTCTTTCTACTAAAACGAATGCAATTTATTTACAATGAAAAGAAAAAAAACTAGTACACATATATATAAATATATATATATACATATATATAAATTTATTTATAT